GAAAGCCTTTGTTCTGATGAAATCTATTTTTTGAAAATTTATATCGATATCGCACGAAACAAAACTAGAAATATGTATAAAAAAAAACGGTTTTCACTTGAAAAAGTCTCTTGGAATCGTGAATACAGCAAATTATTCGGCGTTTGAGCGCCTAGGAAATATTTCTTGTTGATAAACAGACTTCTTCATGTATCCAGCTGAGGTCAACTTCTTTATTTGCTCTTCCTAACGTTTTGTAGGCAGTGTAATAAAACCGAATTAAAGGAGCACCTAGAAATGTGTGGGTAAAATCAGAGCTCATGAATTTTTGTGGGTTAAATTGACTAAATAATGTCCAGTAATTACACACGAAACTTTTATTCATCCCACAAAAACCCTCTCCGTCTGTAAAACTATCTCCTACACTATTAAGCAAGGATAAGGTCTTAGTAAACTGAATAATTTAGAACCTGGAAGATTACTACATTCAATTTCATGGACTAGCATAGCTCGTTGCCTAATAGCAATAGGACATTACCAAGCTTTAAATACCTTTCGAAATTCAATCCACACAAGCTGTGTGTGGGCCCCCTTTTCTTCAAGTGTTTATAAAACACTTCCGTTGCCACTCGCCCCATTAAAAACCTCAGTGCTGTCGCACTCAAGCTTTTAATGCCAAACACAATCAATCTGACAATCATGTTGAACGCTTCCTGAGAGCCGGGAAATTGCCAGCTCAATTTAGACGAAAAATCCAGAGACCGCAACCGCCTAATAACTTACAATGGCCAAACACGAAAATCGAAAAAGTTGTGACAAAAATATTTGGAAAATCCTGCCAAAAAAAAAAGATCAAGGAGAAACTTTCGGGGACGGATGCCGTAGCATACTTTTTATGGCACTCTGGGGCCACTTGACTGGCTAGCTACTCATTAACGAGGAGGTAGAAATATAAATAAATAGATGGATCCCCCTGGAAAGATAACTCACGTCTTATGCCCCAATCCATCATCTTGCAAACTTCACACGGTGTTCACTTGGCAGATGATTCTCCTATTACTTGGACCACATAGTCGCAGTTCCCCGCAGTCGGATGAAAGTTATTGGGACAAAATCACTTTGCTAGTACACGGCGAATTCAATTGAACGGCTTCTAATTTTGACAATTTTCTGTATGCATGGCGGGCGGTGGAGGAGGGGGCGCGACAGCACCCGACGATGGGCGCCCAGCCATCATCCAGCCATACCATCGTTTTATCTTCAGGAAAAACTGTTGCCGCCGTCGCTGTTCGCCGGTGAACTTTTCTCGCCTCAAATACAAATGCGATGTGTCGCGGGATCCCCGAAAGCGCCGCGTCGTGCTTTCCCGAGCAGCATTACTTCATGACTGAACCTGACACTGAATGTGAACCTAATGCCTCCGCTGTTGCCCCAAACACAATGCGGAAAATACCGAATTCGGCTTTTCCTCGGAAAACTCTGTCGGGCAACGGCATCGGCATCGGCAACAGGGTTTGCGTGGATCCACAGAAGAAAACTTTTAAAGCTTAAAGTCTACTTTTCAAGGGTAGAAATGTAAAAATTATTAATGTCATTTTTTTCTCAAGAAGAAATTTCACAAGCCTTACCATTCTTATATTTCTCATAATGTAAATGTAAAATATTCATAAAAGTTTTTACTAATTTTTCAAAGTGTAAATGTATCTGTGTAAGTCCCGGAGAAGTGTGACTGTGAAGTGTACGGCGTAGATAATGGACAATGGGATGTGTGTTGGTGGGGAATCCCCCATCACGCCCTCATCTCCGCCCTGGACTCACCACCTTTAGCACTTGAGCCGCCGGTACATCGACATTGCTAAGGACATTGAGAACGCTCAGCAGAACAACAATAACATGAATCAACAACAGAAGCGAACCAGAGCCAACCGCAGTCAAACTCATCAATCCATGAACCATCTCAGTTCAGTGTCTTTGGGATTCATGAAATAATTATTTTTTAAAGTCGATTCAAAACATATTTTAGACAAGCATTCAAGTCTTCTAATAGTTATCCAAAAGTTGAAATTTAAGTCAAAAATCTAGGCTCTCTTATGTTAACTTTACTCCTTTCATGATACTGATGTTGCACTGTACATCAAATTTATAAAGAAAGCACATTCGCTTTTCTTATTGGTAAACGTTCAAGTGACCACGAGTGTGGGCTGGTGCTGACCCACCTGGTGGTGGCTGGTTGCCGACGATGCGGCCGCAAAGGTATGCCCATTATCCTTGACAGGACGAACGCACGGAAGAGAAATTGACGCACGCCAGAGACACCAAAACAAATCGAAAAGGGTGGAATGGGTTAAGTCACTCGCCGGGGAACTCCCCGAAGACACGCAACGAACAGTTTTCAAGTTTATATCCTACAACCTCCAAGTGAGCAATAAAATTTGATCAACGCCAATATCTGTTCATGTAAAGGAGTAAAAAGGCTGTTGGTATCAGTTTATCTATCTTAATTAAATATTTATGAAAGTGTTTGTACTCGACACCCGTATTTTGAGTCATTTTGTTAGATCATTTTTATAAATTTGAACTCTTTGTAAAATGGATAGTTAAGTTAAGTCTCCAACTTTTGTTAAATTAATATTCAGTTGGCATTATAAGGTCCTCTTGATATATATAATAAATTATTTCCTAGATTAATATTTACCACCCACTGTGCAATCCAAAACCCAGACAAACAAAAAGGAAATTAAATCGAAAGCGAAACCCAAAACGACAAACCGAACAAAGGATACGAGCAGGCAAGAGAGAGAGTCTAAAGGCTCTCTCGGCAATAAATATTGAAAATAAATTAAGAGAAAAACATAATGCCCGACTTTCCAGATAAGAGAAAAGCCAGCATCACATCGCCAAACACAGTTAAACTATTGATAATAGAAGCCAGAATAAACAATTGTGAAAAACTATTCAAGAATGAGAGGTTTTTCTTGCATTTAGCAATCAGCAGCTCGTGTTCTGTTTATCTCAAAGTACAAGATGCTACCTCAAAAGTGCATTAGGCAAGGTAAAAAGTTTTAAAAAAAAAAGGAAATGTAAGATTTTACCCATGAGGGGGTTGCCCCCTCGGAATATGTTGACCCAAATTGATTGCCGCCCCAGAAAATGTCTAAATAAAACCATAATCCACGGAGGCAATTCACGCGCAATGTTTTGAGTGAACCCTCGCTTCGCTACACTGACACACAAAAGTAGGCAACACGAAAAAACGACCAACAATTAGAAAAGCCAGAAGCCAGCGGGGACGTCAGCAGACAACAATGTGAGTGAAGTGCGGTCGCAATTTACATTTTACACCTTTCAAAAGGCCCAGGGGGCTGCGGAGAGAGACGGATAGATACAAAGACAAGGACAGAGCGTGCGGACAGAGCGAGAGGCCCATACGGCTGCCAAGTTGTCGGGAATTTCTCATCCAAAAACTAACATCAAGCAACAGGGACTCCTAAAAAGGAACCCCTGCGAATGTCATTATTATAAGCGGTTCGGGCCGGGTCAATTTGGGTCCGCAGTTACGCTAAGAGAAAAACATAAGCTAAGGTGCCTGCATTTTCGATTATTAACTCAAGATTTCTAATCAAAATAATACTTTTCTGGTACATTAACAAGATGGCGTAAGCTGTTGCATAGTCTAAGTACTGAACTCATTATGTGTCGTGAAATTTTATAATACAAAAATAGTCCTCATAATAACCGGTATGCAAATTTTTCTCTGTGTGAAGTCGTCAACTTCGTAAGGCTTCCCTTTTGACAGCTGGTGCTGTGTGTCATGTTGGATGATTGCGCACAAACATTTCCGCACCGAGTTAGTTCTATTTACTTTTCCCCAAAACACACATTCAAATATTAATGGGTACTTTTCTTTGACGCTCTGACATCTACGATCTTCACTTGAATTTATTGCGACTTAAGGAAGTAAAATTTAACTTATTTTAATTAAAATTCTAATCAGAAACCGCAAAGTAATGAAAAACAAATTACGGAAATTAACTTCACTCATATTTTTAAGGCTTGTTATTAAAGTTGTTATTTAACTTATTATTTTAACCTTTGAAATTACCTTTTACGAACTTTTCTTCAATACATTCAAATAGAGGAAAAGTCAAATTGTATAATACTGAATAAAAATTAATTATATTCTTCAAATCGCAAATTACTATTATGTATTTCAAAAGAAGAAAAGAAACGAATTTGTGCTTTGTGGATCCTATGTAGCTACCAAAACCACAGGTAAATGTCCTAAATTCCACAGTCCACCCCAGTCGTCCCAAATAAGGGTCCTTGCTAATAGGGTGTATGTATGCACTAATGGTTTAGGTCCCGGACTGCCAGAAAATAAGCAATGGGAACCAAAACCTACGCCTTTTTTTTAAAATACTTATTGTATTCAAGTTTTCGGAGGAGAATTCAAAAAAATGTATATTACTTTCTTTAGCTTCTGTAACCTTATTTTGTTTAATACAATACGACAAATTGGCAACTTACGTAGCTTTTCACAAAAATCATCTTTCATATTTAAATCACTTCTATTTAAAATTTGTAGCAAATGTATTAATTTAATTTAATGGTAAAAGCGTTTTATTAACAAGTCATTTTTGTTAAAAAAAAGGTATTAACACATCTCTATGTAAGATATTTATAGTTGATTTTGCGGAGTGGTACATAAACTAAGTACGTAATAAAAAAAACACAGTTTATAAAATTCCGTCACGACGATAAGAATTTCGAATCAAAACTGAGCCGGAGCTCCTGCGAAAATACGAAACAACTAAATAGCAACAGTCAACTTGTTTCGTTGTTGCTGTTGGCTGTCAGTCAGCCTGTTTTATGAGTGAGTGAGCCAGCATAGTTATTGATAAAACAAGGCTTATATTATGTCAAGACCATTGCGTGGATATTTATGAATGAAGTGGCAGTTCCCCCACAAAAGGAAATTGATTTTAAATGAAGGAAAATCAGGCAATATGAAAAGCACTCACCTCGCGAAGTTGGATGGTTCATGAGTATCGACAGTGGGCACTCGTCATCGTCGAGTATATATTCCGTTCCATCGCTATTGACCTGGATTTAGTAAAAAAAAAAAATAAACATTAGAATGTGATTATCTTGACGACTTGATACAGGAAGATAATACGGAGCCTTTTGATGCGTAGAACATGGATTTTAGCTATAGGAATTAACAAACTTAGGTTTTAGGAAGTACTTGATAAATCTAAAGGCCATGTGACGTATACATTTCCATTAGAATGCCCTAGGTAGATATAAAAAATAATATAAACATCTGACCGATTCGATGTTTCCGATTAAAAAATACAAATTAAATAATAATAAATGAAATATCTATCCTCAACTCATGGCTCCATATCATTCCCATATACTTATTTTACTCATCCCACCTGAACCAGGCAATAGTGCAGGGGATCTGCCTTCTCCAGTCCGTATTTTGTGAGCATTTCCCGGACGACTGCCTGTGCACAGTCTCGGATAGAAAGCAGCAGCGTCTTGTAGGGCACATCCTGGCACAGGCTTTCGCCGTAGATCTTTAAGGTGCCGCCGGTATCCGGACCACCATCTCTTGAACGGAACTGCTGCAGTTTCTTCTCGAGTTTCTGCTGTCGCCGTCGCCGCATCACGGCCTCCGGGTTTGAGATCGATCGTGTGAACGAGGTTTCTGGCAGTTCGGTGTACAGTTTCCCGGCCACGGCATCGCTGCCATCGCCTCCGCTCCCTCCGGCGTTACCATTCATGTGGGCTGATCCCGAAGATCCTCCAATTCCATTGCCCAAGCCCAAATGACTGCCATTGGAGGTAGGCGGATCGGAGCTCAGCTTGGCCATCTTTTCCTTTTTCTTCTGCTCCTTTTTCTCACGTTTCGAGAGTTTTCTCTTGAAGTTCAGATCCGTCTGCTCAATGGGCTAAACATAGAAATCATAAAATTAGTAATTGGAAAATCAGAGGCTAAAGAATTTATTGATACTCACTGTGGTCTTCTGGTCTATGTTCTTGAGCAGGAAGCGACCCTCGCGATCGTCGATGTGCCAGTTGAGCTGCACCAGCAGTGGTTTCTCATCGGCGTTCAGTCGACGCTCCTCGCCATTGGCATGCACTTCGTAGAGGGCATAGTTCGGCACGGATAGCATCCGCATATCGGGACGGAATTTCTCAATGAGTGTGTCTAAGGAAGAGAAGCGAAGCTTTTAGTTGTTTTATTCTTATTTAGTATTATCATATATGATATTATTATATTATGGGTGGGTGTGGCGTGATAAGTAATGGTATAACCATAAGATGCGATGGCATCTCAAGATTATCAATACTTAATCTCAACTTGTTAGCTCAATAGTTCGTGAGATTTCAGTGATTTTAGTTTTTCGTGATTTGTGGGCGTGGGTGAGCGTGGCAGGATGCTGAAATAAACTTCCGATGCGTATAGACTTGAAGAATCTTCATGCTTAATCTTAACTTTGTATCCCTTGTAGTTCCTGAGGTTCAGGATCTCTGTTCATACGGACAGACGGACAGACGGATGGACGGACATAGCTTGATCGACTCGGCAATTGATCCTGATTAAGAATATATATACTTTGTAGGGTCTGAAACGCTTTCTTCTATCTGTTAGATACTTTTCAAAGAACCTAATATACCCTTTTACTCTACGAGTAATGGGTATAAATGTAATGTCCATTATAAATATAGCAAAACTCATTTTTAACGCAAAATGCTTCATATTTTTAGTTAAATTTCTGTATTCAAAGTTTTCTAAGTTCAAAATCGTGACCTCTGCAGTTCGAACAGAACTTGTTTTATTTCATAGTTCAACTTTGTTTCTTATATATCTTTGAGAGATTGATTTCCATAATTTTCTGCCATAATAATTATGATAATCAAAACCTAATATTTTTTAAGTAAATCAGCTCATTGGCCATACCTATGACATCTGTGACGGTGGCATCGGAAGCAACGCGAATGCATTTGGTGGCCACTTTCTGACCAGCATCTTGGAAGTAGAAGCGCATAACGCCATGGAAGAGCAGGTTCTGTAAATAAAATATTTTGTAATATATATAAACTATATTTGTTGACAAGCAGACTCACCTCGTCGGGCTCGGAGAGCGCAAACAGATCCAATCGATTGGCATTCCATTGCTGTATCACTGAACGAACTGCCTCGCGATCCAACATCTTCTTGTCATGTGACATACTGCACAGGTTGTATTCGGGGTGGGGGAATGTCTCGTCTCAGTTCTGGGAGAATCGATCGTGTTGTGACTCCAGTGTGACGTCGTTTGTGTTTCGTTTTGCTGGGGGCCCTGGCTATCTGTAAACAATAAAGCATACATTTTTGATAAAATTAGATTTTGGGTTTACAACTTCCATGAAAGCATCGTAAACGAAGGCGGAATCTGAAGCCAAGAGTAAAAAGTTGGCGCAGATGTGGCAAACAGTAAAGTTTCGCTGCCAAACGTAAACACAAAGGGAAAACTACAGGGAAACATTGTAAATAAATGTCTGTTCACCTACAAACTGTGATGGGGAATTCTGTCATGAATGGCTGAACTTTGAGATTTTAATATTTACCTAATATGGTTTTGATGGAATTTATATACTATTTCTTTTCATTAACTGTTTGCTCAAATACTTAAACATGGTAAATATTTTCCAGCTTTCTTATTCGTAAACACAACTCTCTGGGGTAATAAATGAAAGAGCTCGTTTTGATTTATGATCGCTTGGGCTAACATTTCCGGAGAGTGTGGCACGGTGGGTTTACCTGCCACATGTCATCTACCACATAAGTATATGACAATCGTACAACTTCTCTACAAGCCAATTAAAAGTTCCATTACATGATCATATCTAACCAGGGAGATTCCCACACCAGCTTTCTGCGCGCAGCGACCCTAAACAAATAACTTCATCAAAGCAGAAAATTTCAGGGCATTTGTACAAATAACCTCAAGACGTTATTTAGGGCGTGTTCTCCAGTTGGTTGGTGACCGGTGGAAGGAAGCGCCCGGAGTTCAGCAAAGTTATTTCGAAGAGAAGTGATGTCAAAGAGCGGAACTATGCCTGAACTAAACTATTCCAACCCTCCGTCCGTTCCTCTTCCAGTTCTTTAAACTTTTCCCTGCTATCTGCTGGCATTATTTCCCCCGAGTTCGGTTGCCAGTTCTAGGTTTTTGTTCCTATATAAGACATAGGCAGTTTAATAACCGTCGGAGGTTCCGCTTGGGGGAACACGTCGTTTGTGCACTGAAACTTGTCGATTTACAGACCACTCGCTCGCTCTCTAAGAGGAGGGTTCGCGGTGCAGGGGATGTAGAATGGTAACCGTTTAAGTAAAGCTATTTCCACAATTTCCGCGAGGGCGTGCGTCGTCTGTGGAAATTCCATTTCGAAGTGCTTCTTTCTGAAACTATCCCCTTGCTTCTAGAGATTTCGTTGGAGGAGTGGAAGTCGGAAGGTCCTCGCTGCATTCAGGCGAAACCAAGCATAAAGGGTTGTGTCTAGGTGCTCGGGTATTTTTCGCTGTCCGTTTCCAAAATTGCATTTCAATGGTTGCCAGGGTTAATATTTGTTTTCAGGGTTGATCAGGCTCGATGCGGAAAGGGTTAAGGGAGTGTAATTTCATATAGAGGGTATTGCAAATGCCTTTGATCTATTGACGGGAATATTTTAACATACAACTTGGTAAGAAGTGTTTTGGTGGTTAATCGGACATAATGGTATGCTAATTTAAGACTTTGAAATAAAACTTTCTTTAAGTTTCTGCAGTCTGTTTAAAAATCATTCTTTTTAGATCGAAAGACAAGGCACTAGTTTCTAGAGCAAAACAAGAACAGTTAAAATTTGAATTATTATTAATTATACGATAAATTTAAAAAGAATCTTTACAAAACCTTTTAACACTAAATGTCTTTCATAGTTTGAGTATAATGAGGTGTCATTTTGTACATATTTCAAATTTTAGTACTAAGCTTTGTCCTGGGTTCCCACACAAACCCTCTTATCTCAGCTCATTATCGCTAAGCCATTAGGTAATAAATGCATTATCTTGTCACATTGCTAAAACATGTCAAAGTTTTTAACAAGTTGTTCGGAATGATGGGCAAACGGAACAAACAATCAGATCCAACTGAGGGGCAAACAAAAATATTTAAATTGCTGCACAAAAAGGGGGCTCCAGGTAGGACAAACACTCCGTAATTGCCGAGCAACATTATTAAAAAGTCATAAAGGTGACATTTGGTGTGTAGTTTGGGCTTCTGAGCTGCTGATTTGGGAAGGAAAATGCTGAAATGCCGCCGAAAAGATCGCGAGAGGCGAGATAATAAAACGAATTAAAAACGAGTCGGAAAACCGCAGCGAAATAAAAGTGTCTCTTTGTGGCAAAGAGAGAGACAGACATAGAGAAGGCTAAGAGAGAAGTACCGCAATAAAAGGCGACCGAGCAAAAAACAAAGCCCATCGTCAGAAGAAGAGGTGAATGTACGAAGACAACAAAATTCAAAACCCACATTTACAATCACAGATTCACTAACAGTCATGGGGACCAAAATAGCACACATCTTTACTAATATGAAATATTGTTTTTAAATTTTACCAAAGCTTTTTATGAAATTTTAATTTTATTGCTAATGGAAAACCGCAGCCAAGGTGCAAAGTATTCACAATTTTACTTCAACTTAACAAAAGAAAACTAACTTTCTTGGGTTAGGTGCCCTATCAACATCGCCTCAGAAAAAGACTATCAAAATTGGTTTATCCTACGAGACATGAAAAAAAGTTAAACCAATTTTATTATTTTGGTAGACGTACCATTTCATAAGTAATTTTAAATATAATCAATAATTTTTTTCTATATATTTCATTATTGCAACACTATAAATCTAGCCTCTGCTGTGAATTTTCAGATGCAGATGCAAAGTTTCTGAGAAGCTTCAAACCCCACAAAGTGGGTCTGGGACATGTAAAATTGTTGCTGGCCTAGGCATAACTAAAAGTTTTTTCCTCTCTGCCGTATTTGTTGGTGTTTTTGTTTTTTATGCAGCTGTCGCTTTGGCACCTGCAGCGCGGCAATAGACCCACCTCACATGACTTACGCCCTCCTCGGCAGCCCCCTTCCGCACCCAGAGTTCATGTTGGCAAAACTTGTTGCCGGTTGCAGTTTTGGTTCGCTGTGTGTGTGTGTGTGTGTGCCTGTGTGTCTGTGTTTCTTTTTATTTCAATTAATTTCGGGGTCAGTGGGTTTGTAAAACAAACGGAAACTGCCAGAGGCTGGAAAAAATGTTAAATACAGACGATAAGGGGAAATTGGTAATCTGCAGTTCCGCCAAAGGAACACTCAAACCGGAATCTACACATGGAAAATAAACTAAATCTCTGATCGGTTTTTATTATACACACGAATTGGACGTACATCTGCTACATGTAGGATCGGAAAACGAGATAAATTTCTCAAAATATTGGCACGGTTTATCGTTTTATATACAAAATTGAAAAAACTTTATCATAAACATAGCATAGTTGAACTTTAAGGGTATACAAATGTTCGAATTCTCGTAGTTAGCTTTCTATCTTTTTTCTTTTTGCTGGGGCGGCGCCAAAATTGAAGTCAATAAGACAGCCGATAAGTCAAGAATATCAGGGACAATAAACTCAATAATATACGTAAATTAGCAGCAAAAAGCTAAGAACTCAATAACAATAAGAAGCAAAAGAAACGAGTCATCTTTCTAAGCGGAAGTGAACTTAGAAAACTTTGTATAGAATTTGAGAATAACTGTCATAAAAACCTTAGAAAATATTCGTCAAATTGTAAAAATTTTGGAGTAAATTGGCTAGAACGTAGGCTTTATCGTATATCTCCACATTCGAAAGGTCTTAGTCAACTTACCCCTTGCTAGGCTATACACAACGTTAGTCATGACACTTAAGAATGCTTACTTATAAGTCGGGAATCCGACTATATTCTATATTTCTTTCACGTCTTGTTTGTCTTTCGGTCGATTGCTTTTTACTAGCCCTTTTCCACCGGTCACTTTGATCTGCCCTTCTGTGGCTTCCTTCTTTTCTGTTTCTGGCTTGGCTTGGCCCTTAACTCGGTGACACTTTTACCAGACGCAAAACATAACAAGAGGAAACGCTATAGTCGAGTGCCGCGACCATAAGATACCCGTTACTGTTTTACAAAATTTTAGAATATTATTTTGCTAGTGGAAATTCACAAGGCGCCACCTATTGTCAGAGGAAGTATGTTGAGTATGCTTATAGTGACGTCACTGCACATGTGAGGCCTTATAACTTAATTTCTTTATAAATAGCGAAATAATGTTCCGATTTGAAAAATCTTTGGTAAATCGATAGGTATTAACAGAAATAAGTTACTCAAGGTCAAACGAAGGCATTCATAATAATATTATAGACGCCACAGTTTTCCGCGGTTTGTGGGCGTCAGAGTAGGCGTGGCCGGATGCAACTTCGTGGAAAGTTGCAAAGGCATCTCCTAAATACGTGATCCTAAACAAAATTATGTAGCTCTTAAGGTTTTTGAGATTTTTGCATTTTTGGTTGTTCAGGGTTTGTGGGCGTTAGAGTGGGCGTGGCTTGATCGCAAAAAAAACAATTCGCATTGGGAGCGTAATAGAAACCTACATGCTTAATCCGAACTTTCTATCTCGTATAGTTACCGAGATATCAGCTTTTCTAGAAAATCCGAAAACCGTCTTTTGAGCCTTGTGGGCGTATGGGTGGGTGTGGCCGGATAGTAGTACCACTATAAGATGCGCTGCCATCTAAAGATTATAATTTCTGAAATTCAACTTTCTAGCTGCAATAGTTCCTGAGATTTCAGCAATTTTAGTTTTTTGCGATTTGTGGGCGTTAGAGTGGGCGTGGCAGGATGCTGTAATAAACTTGCGCTGTCCCGGGACCTCAAGAATCTTCATGCTTAATCTCAACTTTGTATCTGCTATAGTTCCTGAGATCTCAGCGTTCATACGGACGGACGGACGGACGGACGGACGGACAGACGGACATGGCTCAATCGACTTCGCTATTGATCCTGATCAAGAATATATATACTTTATAGGGTCGCAAAAGCTTCCTTCTATCTGTTACATACTTTTCAACGAATCTAGTATACCCTTTTACTCTAGGAGTAACGGGTATAAAAATATAAAAATAAATGGTTTCTAGAGAACTGTAAAGCATTTTATTAAAAATGCTCTCCTTAAAACAATTTATTATTGATCGTTGAGGTCAGATAAAAAGTTGTAAAAATAAGACGCAAAGTTCAAATTATTCGTAAGATTAGAC